GCATGCTGCAGCACTACTCCAACTCAGGCCAACTGCATATCATGACACATCTCCCTTACAGCTGGTGCGTGGGAAAGAACCAAGTATTTCCCATCTACGTATATTTGGTTGCGCGGTGTACATGCCAATACCACCACCCCAGTGTACATCAATGGGACACCATCGGAAGTTGGGGATATATGTTGGTTATGAGACTCTGTCCATAATCAAATATTTGGAGTCTATGACTAGGGATCTTTATATGGCTTGGTACGCTGATTGTGTCTTCGATGAAGACCATTTCCCAGCATTAGGGGGAGATAGGCATCCAGAAGAATGCCAAAAAATTGTATGGAATGCAATTGGGATGCAATCCTTAGACCCACGCACAGTGAATCTGAACTGGAAGTTTAGAGGATCATACATTTGCAAAATCTTGCAAATAGACTGCCAGATGCCTTCACTGACCATAAAAGAGTGACAAGGTCGCATATACATGTAGTAAATGCACCGGAGAGAGTATAGGTACCCCAGAAGGTTACCATCTCTACTATCTCCCCTAATCCTAGGAAGAGGGGGAGAACTCCGGGTGCTCAGGACAAGGTTTCGTGGAGACGTCCGCAGAGACGGGGACTTGAGCCACTTGCATCACTCAAGGAATCAGTTGAAGAAGCTCAACCTGAAGTTGAGAATGCCCCTAAAGAGGCAACTCAACCTAAAGTTGAGATGGTCCCTGAAGGACCCCATCCTGAAGATGGAAATCCTAATGCGTCGCGCGCACACTATCGCATTGGTAGATCAAAACGCCCTAGCTCAATCGTTATGGGAAATCACAATGAGCGGGAGGACGATCATGAGGAGATCGCCACTAATTATGTGGAGTCAGGAGAGTCATATAAAAGAAAGACTACTATTATCGATGTATATTTTGCCTCAAAAATTGCTGGCTCAATGGATCCGAATCCAGAACCAAAGTCCATGATAGAGTGCCGAAAGCACTTTGATTGGGACAAATGGAAAGCAGCAATTGAGGCAGAGTTACGCTCGCTTTACCAAAGAGAGGTTTTTGGGTCTGCGGTCCCAACATCTCCAAAGCTCATCCCTATAGGATGCAAATGGGTCTTCCTCCAGAAGAGGAATGAACATGGCCAGGTGGTAAGATACAAAGCGAGGCTAGTGGCACAAGGGTTCACGCAGAGACCCGGCATTGATTATGATGAGACTTACTCTCCTGTTATGAGTGGCATAACGTTCCGATATCCTATATCTATGGCAGCTAACTTGAACTTAAAGATATAGTTGATGGATGTTGTGACCACATACTTATATGGGTCATTTGATTCAGAAATCTATATGAGAGTCCCTGAAGGGATCAAGATCCCTGGACCGAATCAAAACCACAACATGTTCAGCGTCCGCCTGCAGCGGTCATTGTACGGGTTGAAACAATCCGGAAGGATGTGGTTCAACCGCTTGAGTAACTTTCTCCTACAGAGAGGTTACACCAATAATGATGATTGACCCTGTGTCTTCATAAAGAAATCCAATGATGGATTTTGCATCATCTTCGTCTGTGTCGATGATTTGAACATCATCGGGACTGCAAGGGACATTGAGGAAGCGATGGCTTACCTCAAGGCAGAGTTTGAGATAAAAGACTTGGGTAAAACCAAGTTATGTTTTGGCCTGTAGCTCGAACACCTCCCTGAAGGAGTGTTTGTACACCAGTCCACCTATACAAAGAGAGTACTTGAGAAGTTCAATATGAGCGAGTGCCACCCTCTGAAAACCCCCATGGTCGTTCGATCATTGGAAGTGGATAAGGATCCATTTCGACCCAAGGAAGGGGATGAGAAAATTTTGGGACCTGAAGTTCCATACCTCAGCGCCATTGGGGCGCTAATGTACCTCGCAAATTGCACACGGCTAGACATTGCATTCGCAGTGAACTTGTTGGGCAGGTATAGTGCCGCACCCTCCAAAAGGCATTGGGTTGGCGTGAAAACCATCCTCAGATATCTAAAAGGCACTTAGGACCTTGGGTTGTGGTTTCCGAAAAAGGGGGGCCTAACTATGGTGGTTTATGTGGATGCTGGCTACATGTCCGACCCCCATAATGCCAGATCCCAGACTGGTTTTGTGTTTCTCTATGGTGGTACAACCATCTCCTGGCGGTCTGTGAAGCAGACCCTGGTTGCCACATCGACCAACCACTCAAAGATAATTGCCCTGTACGAAGCCACATGAGAGTATGTTTGGCTACAACGGATGATTAACCACATCCAGAAGTCATGTGGATGAACATCATCGACACCCCCACCATTATCTATGAAGATAATGCGGCTTGTGTTGCACAGATGCATATGGGCTATGTCAAGAGCAATCTCACGAAGCATATTGCTCCAAAATTCTTTTACCCCCATGAGCTCCAGAAGAGCGGGGAGATAAATATCCTACAAGCAAGGTCATGTGAGAATCTTGCAGATTTATTCATAAAATCTCTACCCGCTTCTAGCTTCCACAAGTGTGTCCATGGAATTGGCATGAAGCGACTTAGAGAGTTGCAGGGTTTAGGGGGAGACCAACCCTAGAGCCATAGCTCATGATCATGATCCTGAAGATCACGAGTCGGTCCTGAAGACCTGACCCGGACATCAACTGTTGTACTCTTTTTCTCTTGATGAGTTTTTCCCACTGGGTTTTCTCATGCAAGGTTTTTAACGAGGCAACAGGCGCAGCATAAGCGATGCATGTGATGTACTCTTTTCTCCTACCCTTTTTTCCCACTCGGTTTTTAGAGGAGTTTTTAACGAGGCATAAGCATGGCATATAATTGGCCAAGGGGAGTGTTGTGAATCAAAGTCAAAGACAATGTGAACAACAGACTTTGAATGGTGGCCAATTAAATGAAGAGGAGGAGAAAGTCTAAGAGTTCAAACACCGTAACTTTGTATTCATCTCAGCCTCCTTTGCTATAAATAGGAGGTCACTTTCACCATTGTAAATCACCGGAGAATAAAGTGAAATAAAGAAAGACTCCTTCCTCTTCTACATCTCTCTGTTCTTGTGTTGTGTGTGCTTGTGTGCAATTCAGAGAACACGATTCCTAACAAAAACCATAGGAAAGTTTGGAAGGAAAGGTGTTTGGATCAAAGGATTTGTCAATTCCTTTCATGTGGAATACTAGCCCAGGCATGTGATTTCAAAAGAAAAAAAAAAGAATCCAGTCTCATCTCTTGGTTTGGTTTCCTTCACGAAGTCCGAGAAAACAACATATTTAATTCTGCCATTGGTGTGTACGCTCTCTGAAATAGGAGTACCAGGTAATAAAGGTAAACAAGACTGCTCATTAAGCTTTGCATGTTTAGGGCCGTGAACAACTTGTAGCCTTGTGGGCCCATGGCCACGAGCATCCTACATGGGTATATGTCACTTGTGATAAAATGCTTCTATAAATAACTTTAATTAATATATCACTAAGTACTAAGGATGTTTCATTCTTTCTATAATGTTTTTATTCCCATGATATGGATTCCTGCGTTTTAAACATATCTTCCTATCACATTATTGTAGTTTTCTATTCCTCAGTTTTGCCTCTACATCCATATCCTTTTCCGGCGATTTTTTTCATTCCTCCATTTTTCATTCCTTTGTTCCGAACAGACCTGAGCTTTGCTTCTTTATCGCCCTTGACGGGCTGCATCACGGCCTCAGCGGCAGCGGCGGCGGCACGTGGAGCGGGGTTGCCACTTGTCAGTATTGAGTACGCTCGTCATGGTGCTCAAGCATTTGCGGGTGCAACAACGCCGGATGCCCCGAAGCAGCCACCGCTCGCCATTAATGTCGAGCTCAAGCAGCTCGTATTCTCCATCGCTCGCTGCTGGTCACCATCAAGGTTGAGCTCAAGCAGCTCGTCTTCTCCATCGCTCGCTGCTGCTCGCCATTAAGGTCTAGCTCGAGCAGCTCGTCCTCTCCATCGCTCGCGTGGCCCAGTGAATGCCTGCATGAACCCTAGACTCGCGGCTGCTGCAGGCGGCAGCGGAGACGATGCGCACAAGGTGCTCGATGCCATGCTCAACCGGCGCGCCACAACCAGCTGCCGAAGATGACTGCGTCCCATGACGTGGCAGATATGACGTGGCTGATTTAAATAGCAAGAATGGAAATTTTTTACAAAGGCTCTTGGATTAGTCTAGTTTTTTTGTGGGTGTTTTATTTTACAGAATAACTAAATTAGGAGGGTTGGAAAATATTTTTAGCTAATCTTTTGGAGATGCTCTTTAAAAAAAATATAAGCAGTGCTATAAATAGTGCTGGAGCAAATAAAACTGAACCTGCTTTAAGGCTTTTAGCTGAAGTGCTACGGGCTCACGGCCCATCACAAACATTTCTACAGGTTCCACACCCACCACTCGTTGGACCAAGCCCGCTATCGAACCTGGTCAACAAATGAGGCTGTCTGTCACCAGCTAATGAAAACGGGCCCACAGCCCTTAAACCCTCGTGCCCGTCTCTTCCTGTCTCGCCAAACTTCTCTACGGCCCAACCCGCTACTGATAACATCAGTGCACGCCATCTACTCCGATTCGAATTTCCAAATTCTGCCGCCGACGCGACGCCCTGGCCAGTCGCCGACGGCCAGGACCCCTTCCCCCTCTTTTCCCGCCCCGCGCCTCGCGATTCAAACGGCGCCGCGGGATGGGTGGGCAGGCCCCACTCCCCCGCTCCTCGTCCGCTCATAAGGCAAGCCACGCAACTCTAACCACCCTTTCTCACTGACAGGTGGACACACAAACCAACAGGCCCACACGCCGGCGTAACAGCATACCACCCGTGCGTGGCTGCGGCGCCGTTATTTATACGCTCCCTCTTCCGGCCACAACGAAATACGGACACGAAATCCTCAAACCCCCAAACCCAAAAAAAACCTACCTCTCTCGAAAGTTCCATCTCGCGTCGCCGGTTTCCTCAATCTCCGTGGTAGTTGTGCGCGAGCGGGCGGGCGGCGGGGTTTGAACTCGATGGCTACTTCCGGCGAACAATCGGCTGGCGGCGGTACGGGGGATTCGTATTTTGTTCCGGTGGATTTTTCAGGCGGATGCGTGCGTGTGACGGCCGATGATGATTTTATTTGATCTTCTGTGAAGGGTCTGCGGCGAGGGCGTCGAAGCTGCGCTACCCGCTGCGGTCGGCGAGCAAGGGGAAGGCGGCGGTCATTTCCCCGGCGGCGGATGCGCCTCCCACCATCTCTGCTCCGCGTCGGTGCGTTTTCACGTTACTGCCATATCCTTTTCCCTTTCCACATTTCACGGTGGGGGCGATTTTATTTCACTCGTGGATCCGCGATTCTCGTGCTCTGTACGAATCTGGTAATACAGTTCCGAACTAGTAGTGATTCTGTTGTGTAGGATTCGGACGTGCCTATTCTGAGCGCCACTTTGTTGGGTGCAACGGTTACTGAGATTCGACTGTTCACATGACAACTATTCAACTTCAGTTTTTCCTCACAACGTGAAGGAATAGCTAAAAGTACCGGAATATATTCTTACAATTATGCTCATAGCCCTCCATTAGTAACTAGTTCTCGAACAGAGGATGAAACTATAGCTGGGGATCGTGTTTTTCTTGAGACCAAATGGGGACCACGATAGCCAACATGAAACTATATATAGTAGTAATGATGCATTTGTTGACATGTCAAAGGTTGTAGGTGCAATTCCATTCCAGAAATATTGTGGACAAAAATCAACTTTGGCAATCTATTAGCAGTAAAGCAGGCCTGGTTGCTATAGTTAAAAAGGCATAGATCTATTCTTCTTTTCAGCTGCCTAACTGCTAAAGATTTGCCGGATATAATCCTGCAGTCCCACTTGCCATATTGTAGTTTTGCCTATTTCGTGAACTCTCGTCTCTGAACTCCTAGAAAATGTCTACGAGCTAATTTAGAGAGGAATAATCATGTGCTTTACTGCATTTTCATTGTGGGTCTCCTTCATATACAGTGCAACTTCAGGTGTAGTACGAGTAGGTCTGTGTAGTTCCACAATGATTTGTTCTGGAGCACTAGTATCCATCACAAGGCTGAGCTAGTGAGCTATCAATACTTCAAGCAGTCTATTGGAAGACCATCGGTCAGCCTTCAAGACAGTAGATGTGCAGACTATTGCTTCGAAACTAAGCATCTGATTGTTTGGTGTTATGTCAGTCTACCTACAATTGCCTATAATTTTTGCTGGGCACCTCTCAACTTCCAACTTAACATTTATATGAGCTACTAGTTTTTTGCTCTATAATTTTCATCTGATTCCTTATATATAGGGCAAAACCATCTTCAGATGTCAGCAAGAGCATGTGTTTAGACCTTTCTGTGAAGGAGAAATCTGCCAAACCTCCACGGAGGCACTCAATACAAACCAAGCCAGGAGCTAGCCCAAGGCCAACACCTTCTGGAACTGTCACCACTCCAGTGTCTAGGGGATCGGACAGCCAGTGGAGGTTTGATACTCCGACATCAGAAGCGTCCATGTCCATGAGAAGGCGCAAGTTCAGCACACTTTCTTCAATCTCGTACTGGATGACACAGATCAGGCTGGCAGAGGCTGCTTCCAAGCACTCAGTTTCTCTGGGCTTCTTTAAGCTTGCTCTTGAATCAGAATGTGAGGTGAGCATCTCTTTTTTATTTGTTTTGTTATTTATCAAATAAGCTTGGTACATAGATGTGATTAGAATGGTGCATGTTTTAATACAGCCTTTGGACCGGATGAGGGAAGAACTCAAGTCCTATGTAGCCCGCCATGGCCTAGCGACAGAATTGGAGGACCCTGTTAAGGACATTCTTCAGGTTTATGATATTGTGGAGGATTTCGAGAAGCTGAAGATCTCTGCAGAGCCCTCGCAGCAACCAAAAAAGTCTGACAAGGCTGCTCGTACTGCCACCAATGTGTCACCCAATGGTAACCTGAAGCCAAGGTCACTGAACTCTGATGCTACTGAAAGTAAGGAAGCTGGAAAGAAAGAGAGCATTCAGAAAGTGAAGCCTGATGCAAAGGTCAGAAGCTCCTATAACAGGAACCCAGTAAAAAACACCACTGCAAAGGAAGTCGTTGCCGAGAACACTGGTAAGAAAACCAAGAAAGAGGCCAAGGGTCAGCAGGAACTTAGCAATGGAGGTAGCGAGGCTTTGTCAGCCCTTCCAGATCAGGAATCTGGTAACTATCCTTTTGCAATGTAAGTATGGCACAAGCATGCGCTATTCCATTTGCTAACTGTTATTTGTATTTTGCAGTTGATGTTGTGAAGGAGATCACCCATGAAGATAAAGAGAACATGGTAAATATAGCTAGCAACTGACATCACTGGATCATTTTTAGGACAGCAACATGCTATTATTCTGATCCTACTAATCAATTATTCAAATTTACTTTGCCTGCAGGGTGATATTGAAATGGCAGTGGACGTTGCCATAGCCCAAGATGTCTAGAACAGCCGGACCAACTTCAGATTCAATCCTTTTTTATCGCTGAAGATGAAGTATTAGTGTGTGGTTGCTTATTTTGGTTTTCATTGTTCATAAATATGTTAGCAGAGCTTGTCTGTGTGATTGCTGAACCTTAAACGGTCTTCAAGAGTGTGTCATAAGTTGATGATTGCTTGTATTCCTTTGTTAAGTTTGTGGTTTTGTATGTGCTAATCGTGCATCTGAATATAAGAATTTATCTATTCTCACGATTCTTCCCGACAGAAGATGCTTCCTATTGTTTGTGTTCTGTCAATGCTTTATACTGCCCGTTTGTTCTGCATTTCCTCAATTTGCATGCTTGAACTCCATGCACGTGTGTCCACGTCTGATGCTGTACGGGGGCAGGAGCTCGTATTGGATCTTCGACAGAATCCAGAGCAGAGCACGCAGGATGCTGGTTCTGACCTTGCCTAATAAAACATTCCTCAATGGCTCCATTCAGAATGCTGACATTTCACAGGCACTGCTAGCTCAATTCCATGAGCAAATGGGATGAATTCTCGGTGTCCAAAATCGATAGTTTTTTTTTACTCTCATGGGAGCAAGTTTGGTATTCCAAAATCGATAGTTTTTTTTGCTCTCATTGGAGCGCGTTTGGCATTTGAATCCGACAGCAGAGCTGGAAGATCCTGAGGTGATTATAATAAGGTCAGGTGTGCCAACACCCAACAGCACGAGATGCCGGGAACGCGCCACCGCGATCGGTTGCGACGTCATGATCCAGCGAGGGTTGCACGCACCTACCAGAGATCGGACTCGCGAAACCGACAGGCCGTGTGCATGATGGTGGCCAATGTAACTGACAGGAGGTGCCAACGGGAACCGGCGTCCTGCCGCCGGAAAATGACGTTTTTTTTTGTGAAGGCAGTGCCGCATAGGAACGAGCGGTGCTGCATCTGTTTGCACGCGGTTTGGTGGAGCGGCCGCCCTGAACTCTGACGAATATCTATCTGTTCGGACGGGGGTGTAGGCCAGAGCTACTGACTCCTGGCACTTATCCTTTTGTTTTCTTTTAATAAAAAGTTGTTAATTGCTAATGCCATGGTGATATAGGCTGCGTTCGCTCATCTGGTTTTTCGAGAACAGCCGGCTCCTCCTCATAAAATATTGTTCATCAACCAGCTGTTACAGTGTTTCTCTCTCATAACAACCGGCCAATTTTAGCCAAGTTTCACCACCGAACCGGGCCATACTGGCTGGGTTCGCTCGCTCTGGGTTTCCGCTGCTCAGTTTCGCTCTGTTTAAGCCATCCAGGCAGAGGCAGGCATCCACTGACGCATGACAGCAACCGGCACGACGGATTACAGAAAGGCATCGGTCTCTCCGTTAACTAAATGCAGCTCAGTTTATGGATCTGATGATACCGTTCACAGAGACACATCAACATCAGCGCTACGTCGATCCATACTACAAAATGCGCGAATGATTATGATTTAGCGGGGGTGAGAGCTGTGGGAGAGTGGGCGGGTGGAGTGGCATCAGAATTTATATGAGCCCAAGTACAGACGAGAGGAACAGGCCATGCAGATGCAGCCCAGTCTCGCCGTACCAGCTAGGCACCTCTTTGCCCTGTTATTAGAGATCCGCGTATGCTATGCAACAGGGTAACATCGTTATGTATTATATTTATTTATGTCATGTTTGGAGATCCGATGACGGCAAAACCCATCTATGGCTTGTTTAGATTGGCTCAAAATTCCAAGTTTTTTCACTCTCTCTCCATCACATCAATTTTTAGATGCATGTATGGAACATTAAATATAGGTAAAAAAAATAATTAATTACACAATTTAGTTGTAAATCACGAGACGAATCTTTTGAGTCTAGTTAGTTCATGATCGGATAAAGTTTGTCAAATACAAACAAAACGTGCTACAGTGTCCAGATTACAAAAATTTACGATCTAAACAAGACCTATGGATAAGTACGGGACCAACCCCGAAATCTCTGGGGGTATTTTATATCAGTATATGCCCCTCCTAACATGCCATAATGTTAATATACTATATCCAGTCACAGTAGCGTCACCGTACTTCCATGCGACCACATACTCTGAAAAAATTCAGGGCAGCTAGTTGCAGCGTGTTGTTTAATCCCTATGGCCCTGTTCGGCAGGACTGAAAAATACTGTTCCGGCTGATTGTTGTGAGAGAAAAATACTGTTCTGACAGGACGTGAACAGTGATTCTGTGAGAGGAAAAATAAGCCAGCTGGCTGGAAACAACCCCTGAGGCAAACACTCACAGTGGTGTTATCGTACTTCAATGCGACCACATGCTCTGAAAAAATTCAGAACAGTTAGTTGCAGCGTGTGTTGTTTAATCCTGTAACCCCTGAGGCAAATTCAGAACCTTTTTTTTTTTTGTTGCTATTTTTCAAAGGCAGAGATTGGCCGAGAAAATGCCAAACCCATATTCGGATGGAGCGGACATTTTTTACATTTATATTAAAGAGACAAGCGTCCGACCGTCTCAGTGACTGACTTTTTAAGACAAATACCCATCTATTAAAGATTTTTAGAAAACCAAAAAACAAGTAAGAAAATAGTAACACCTCTTTTAAATCCCTAGACAAGGCCCCTAGCTAGGCCGCACCGAGACTAGAAAAAAATGCTATCCTTTTATGTTCATTTTTAGAAATCTTGTATGAATATTTTGATCTCTAAATGTTCTCATAAAAACGTTTTATCTATAAAGTTTGCATATCGTCGAGCATAGTAATTTTAAATATTGGCGTGTCCCATACTATAGCATTTGAAAAATTCAGAAAATTGAATCTCAAAATCTAGTTATTTAAATATGAATATTTATGACCATAAATAATTTGATATATTTTTTTCAACTACTAACTTATAGATCTCGGTGAGAACTACAACTTTAGTATACGCCAAATCAACATCACAAGTCATTTGAGAATTCTAAATTTATAATTTCAAAGTATTAGAAATAAAAATGAACTAGGGTACTCTAAAGTATTTCAAATATAAAACTTAGTTAACAATTAACGTATAGATAGAACTACAGTTTTTAGACCATATCAATATCCGAGGCTTTTTAAAAATTCTACATTTTAAATTTCAAAATCGGAGAACTTAAAATAAAATTTTAGGACTCTAAACAGTTTTAAATAAAAAACTTGTCAACTAGGAAAGTGTACGTCACGTCGAGCTCTATAATTTTGATATAAAAATTATAAAAAGTTATTAATCTTTTTTTAGACAACTATTTTTAAAAGTGTTCTTCTAAGAGTGTCGCATGTGTTAATTAATTTTAGAGGCAGCACTTTCCGAAAGCTAGCCTCTGAAAATAACATTTTATAGAGATATAGTCACTTTAGTGCATTTTCTTTTATTAATAGTTTAATAGTGTAAATGAACAATTGAGACGGGCATCTATCTAGTGTCCGCCTGACCATTCAGAGAGGTATAGTATATTTTGAATATGTCACTTTAATTACGAGTTTTATTTGGTTTAGGTATCAATCTTTCGAGAATTTCATACATCATTTACCATATTATCATAAAGATACCACACCTAAGCAGCTGTTATGCTTTACCGACAAGTTATTTGATCATTTTAGTTTCGAAAATTCGGTTTTATGTACGAAGACCCTTTCTCTGACATTCTACTCCTTTATAGGAAAGGTTCAGCTAACTGTGTAGGCCATTATGTCTATACAGGCTATGTCTGTTGTGGTTGAGCATGACGGGCTGCTGCAAGTGTGTGGTGTAGGAGACACTGCCAGACTGTACAAAGTGCAGTAGCTTCTCGGACAAGCCGCAATGTCACCCCGAAATGTTTCAGCCACCCGATCCCCGCTCTCATTCTATTCCAAGTATCACATACACATCATGCAATTAACCCACACTGATCGACCCCCAAGGTACCACACGAGTATACCGTATGAGTATACGTTTTGCTGAATTCACATAGTCACTTTGACATCATCAGCCACACACTATGAGATCCATATTTATTTAGCTATCAGGCTCTCATGAAACAGGTTCAAAGACGAGCTTGTTTACGTAGAATGGCCTCCGACGTCTGAACAGGCACCTGCTAAACTGATGCAGGCTGCTGTACTCCACTCCAGTACAGACACCTCGCTGAGCTCAATAGCATATACCCATATGATTTCACGGTACAGTTCGCCCTCTTTTTTTTAACAGCAAATTTACAGTTCGCAACAATAGGAACCACCTGCAAACAAATTTTACGTCTTCTTCTGAACTGCATCTTTGTGTTTGTTATCATAGAATTAAGGATGGGCAGTACACAGGCTCTGGTCACGGTTTCTCGTCCTCCACATAGCCCTTCAATTTCCTATTTTCCCCCTGTCCGCATAGGAGCAGCAATAAGAGTTCCTGTGATTAGATTTGGCTGTGATGCTTCAATTCCATGTGAGGCTGTTTTCGTACATGTTTAGTGATTCGTTGCATGCAGGTAGGTTTCCCATTTGCCAATTGTTGTTGCTTTCTCTGGTATACGCAGGTTCTTTTCAGATCTAACTATGCTATTTGTATAGTTCAAATCAGCCTTCAATCTGTTAGAACGCTCCTTCCTAATTACTATGGGTGACCATGTTTATTTGGTACATGTTAGATGCCCTTGTCGTTCATTCTTAGTCAACCTTCAGTCTGATATGTACCTTTTTTACACTGCTACCGTATCACTATCACATTACTACAATCATATCTGTGAGGTAAATGTTGTTACATGACCTGATCGCTATCTTGTGCTTGTATATTCAGGTCAAAATTATCAGTTTGAAGCATATTTCAGCCACTTAAATTGATGAATTGACGGAACAAAAGGTATGGGTCTTAAGGTACTCATGTATATTTGATTTGCTAACCTTTTATAGTAGCTTGGCTTTTTGGTTCTGGGGATCAGCTAATTGGTACAAGCAACCACTAGATACATCTTTTAGGTTGATGTATATACCATTAGATAGAGGTCAGC